TATATATATATATATATATTTATATATATATAGCTTTAACTTTAAAAATTTTTTAAATAAATTTGCAAATTTTAATTGATTTGAATCATAATTTAGTATTCATTGAACTAAACTGTAATCTTACCTGCTACATACCTTGAAATTAATGTTATATGAAAAACATTTTTAAAATGTTAGATTTCTTTGAATTATTCAACCAACTTTTTACAAATAGAAATAAATTTTAGAAGATAAAAATAAATTTCTGATCAAAAGATTAATGGACAAAATTTTGCAATTGTTTATATTAATTAAAAGTCTATATTTCAATTTTATAATTAATAATTCATGTCATTATTAATATTTTAAATTAATTTTTGATAACTTTTTGAAATTATTTCTTCTAGTTGTAGCAAATTACGACCTATTTACAATTCATCAAATACTATCCTTATGTATCCTGGTCCTCAAGCAACTCCTTTAGAAGACCTTCCAACAATTAAAGATGGGCCAAAATCATACAATATTATTATTTTAGATGGTACATGGCCTCAAGCTAAATCAATGTATAGAAATACTGAAGAACTTCGAAGGCTTAAACAGGTAAATTCATTTATACAATATGGTAATTTTTCAAATATATTACAGTAGAGCACTGATTATCCAAATCAATTGGGGACTGGGGTAGTTCAGAAAATCGATTTTCTCGGATGACGATTATGTACGAAAAAATATATTAACCTATTCCATGTTGAAATTCATTCAAATCCTGGCACTTCCTTAAGTATCCTCTCATGGTTGTGCCAGTGCTGCCAGCTAAAACACACACCAACAAAAATAATATTGGAGTAGCCCAAGACATAGCAAAAGATTGCAGTACTGCAGCACTAGTGGAAATTTAAATTTGCCAACTGGAAAGCTTTTGGTTAATTGACGTTTCGGTTGATCAGTATTCGGATAAACGATGCTCTACTGTATATCCTTCTTGAACTTGATCTCTTTAGATTTAGTATATGTCTCTTCAATCCGAATAATTAAAAACGGTAGACTTTCTTTCAGCTCTGAGGTTAAGTATTCCTTTATTGTAAATTACATATGCATTTCAGGCTTGTACGAGCCCCTCTTCAGTGTAAATTCTACACAAAATTTAAAAACAAAAAATCAATTTACAAATTTTTTTCGTGTAAAGATGTTTTTTTATAACCAACATTAAATTCTTTTTCATACCTCTGATGGTTGAGTAACACTTTTTAAAAATTGTATGACATCAACAATGACATTATTTCAAACGAAACACATGAATAACATTCGTATATGGGTATAATTCACAAACCTTAAAAACAGTAAATATCTATTATTATCTTACATATCATTACCTATTATATTATTACTTATTATATTATTACATATTACATTTTTTACAATTTACATTTTTTAATTATACAAATTACATTTACAATTACAATTGTAATTGTAAATGTAATTTGTATAATTAAATGTAATGATATGTAAGATAATAATAGATATTTACTGTTTTTAAGGTTTGTGAATTATACCCATATACGAATGTTATTCATGTGTTTCGTTTGAAATAATGTCATTGTTGATGTCATACAATTTTTAAAAAGTGTTACTCAACCATCAGAGGTATGAAAAAGAATTTAATGTTGGTTATAAAAAAACATCTTTACACGAAAAAAATTTGTAAATTGATTTTTTGTTTTTAAATTTTGTGTAGAATTTACACTGAAGAGGGGCTCGTACAAGCCTGAAATGCATATGTAATTTACAATAAAGGAATACTTAACCTCAGAGCTGAAAGAAAGTCTACCGTTTTTAATTATTCGGATTGAAGAGACATATACTAAATCTAAAGAGATCAAGTTCAAGAAGGATATACAGTAGAGCATCGTTTATCCGAATACTGATCAACCGAAACGTCAATTAACCAAAAGCTTTCCAGTTGGCAAATTTAAATTTCCACTAGTGCTGCAGTACTGCAATCTTTTGCTATGTCTTGGGCTACTCCAATATTATTTTTGTTGGTGTGTGTTTTAGCTGGCAGCACTGGCACAACCATGAGAGGATACTTAAGGAAGTGCCAGGATTTGAATGAATTTCAACATGGAATAGGTTAATATATTTTTTCGTACATAATCGTCATCCGAAAAATCGATTTTCTGAACTACCCCAGTCCCCAATTGATTTGGATAATCAGTGCTCTACTGTAATATATTTGAAAAATTACCATATTGTATAAATGAATTTACCTGTTTAAGCCTTCGAAGTTCTTCAGTATTTCTATACATTGATTTAGCTTGAGGCCATGTACCATCTAAAATAATAATATTGTATGATTTTGGCCCATCTTTAATTGTTGGAAGGTCTTCTAAAGGAGTTGCTTGAGGACCAGGATACATAAGGATAGTATTTGATGAATTGTAAATAGGTCGTAATTTGCTACAACTAGAAGAAATAATTTCAAAAAGTTATCAAAAATTAATTTAAAATATTAATAATGACATGAATTATTAATTATAAAATTGAAATATAGACTTTTAATTAATATAAACAATTGCAAAATTTTGTCCATTAATCTTTTGATCAGAAATTTATTTTTATCTTCTAAAATTTATTTCTATTTGTAAAAAGTTGGTTGAATAATTCAAAGAAATCTAACATTTTAAAAATGTTTTTCATATAACATTAATTTCAAGGTATGTAGCAGGTAAGATTACAGTTTAGTTCAATGAATACTAAATTATGATTCAAATCAATTAAAATTTGCAAATTTATTTAAAAAATTTTTAAAGTTAAAGCTATATATATATAAATATATATATATATATAT